ATATTATTTCATTAAAAATATTCCAATAAATCATAAATTTGGTCTTTTCATGTTATCCCATATTTCTTGGAATTTCTGTTCATGGTTTGTTATCATCTTCTCTCCATGGTCAACTCTATTTTCAAGATTATATAATTTGTCTCCTTTGCCTGAGGTTCTGTCTTCCAAGTGATATCATCTGTTGGTGATGCTTTCTATTGAATTTTTAAAAATCATTTCATTAATTTTGAGTATTTCAGCTTTTTTTAAGAATCTGACTCTATTAAAATGATCTTCACTTCCATTTCATTCATTATACTATCCTTTACTTCACAAATTAGTTTAACAATGCACATTCTATACTCCTTCTCTTACATTTTATCCAGTTGGTGTTGATAGATTCTGTTATTGGAATATGTTAGTTTGCTTAGGGTAATTCATTCCCTTGCTTTTTCATGTTGTTTGTTTTCCCCTAAAACAGTATAGATTTGAGGCAGTTTCTACCCTGTAGATTTATAGTGTCCCTGAACATTTCCAGTACCTCACTATTTTGGAGGAGACAAATAATAACAACCAATGCAAACAATATACAGCACTAAACGAAATAGTTCCTACTATGACTTTTACAATGTTAATTATTACAGTAAACAGAAGTGATATGATCAGTTATTGCCTATAATAAAAACAGCAAGTTTGCAAAAGGGTTTACAATTTCAAATGATGGACATTGAGAGAACAAAAGTGATATAGGATGTGATGATTGTTAGGGAGGAGGAGAGGAACCAGAAGTAAAATATTAAAGGAAAAGTGAAAGAGAGAAAAATAGAGATTGGCTATTAGCAGGAGAAAAGAGAATCAAGGGAAACATAGGTAGGAGGAATATATATATAAAATAAAATTTTTAAAAGTTAAAAATAAAAGAATACAAAACAAAACTAAAATATACTAATCAAATATCCTAATTCATAACAAACTAATCCATGAAAAATAAATGTCTTCAAAAATTCTAGAAATTAGAAAAAAAAATGAAATTCTATAAATGTTCGTACCATCAAGGTCACAATTAGAGAAAAAAAAGTAAATTAAAAAATTAAAAATCTTGATGAAAAGTTGAAGAATTTATTCCATTTGCATTCAAAATGTGCTCAGCTTCTCTTGTCGGCAGTTTTGGGTGGAGGGTTTGGAGAATGATGCTCCACCCTCTGGATTGCTGGAGTAAGAGAGGTAATATCATGAATTATCCTGCAGAGCATCTTTCAGGTTTGTTGGGCAATGTCCTTGGTCTCTAAACATTCTGGACCTAAAATGCCTTGGGCCTCCCAAAAATGTGGGTTTCCTTAATTCCCTCATCCCTCCACTATGCTCAAAAAGAGACAACTCGGGCTGGTGCTTCTAGCCTAGCTGTGGCAATGGTTGTGGGGCTGCTGATTTTTTTTTTCATCATATCCAACCTCATGTGTCCCTGGTCTGGTTTGAATGTCCAGTTTAAAGTCCCAGTAAAGTCCATCCCCCACTTTTTTTGCTCACCCACTTTGTAGAGATGCTGCCTATCTGCTTTCTTGGTTTCACTCCATGGAACAGCTAGGAACGTGGCCACCTCCTATTCTACCATCTTGGATGAATCCTGATTTATTTATTATCAGATTTTTTATCTGATATTTTATCCACTTTAATAACTTTGAAGTCAGTTGCTGGTGAATTATAAGCTTTATGGCATTTTGTATTGCCTTATATTTTCATATTTCTTTTGTTTGTGTTTTGGGTTTTCTGCATCTGGTAGTATGGATTTCTCTTCCATTCTCACACATGGTTCTTTTAAGGTACAGTCCTCTTGTGAAGTGATGTAGTAATATATATTGAGACCACTCATAGGTGTGGTATTCACAACTTTTATGTTAATTCTTTCTGGTTTTTTGCTATAGAAGTAGGTATCTATGAATGATGCCTGAAGAACCACCTATCAATTCCTGCTTGGGACGTAGTCATTGATTTGTGGGTTTTGTCTCTTCTCTACTTTGTATTGAGATATCATTGGAGTTTGAGTGTGGTTAATTTCTGTATAGATCAAGGAGAGCTCTTTCCTGGTTGGGTTTGGTTCAGCAGCAGAGTCTCTACCCTATGAACATGTAGTGCTTACAGGTGCCAGAACCTTACAGAAAAGGGGACAACTTGAACAAATGAATAACTAGGATGACATCTACAACACTAATTACCACAAAAATCGGGAATGGTAAGGTCAGCAATTGCCAACAGCTTAAATAATGAATAACCATGAACTAGATCTGATATTGAAGTAAACACTAGGTGTCAAGTATGCCATCCACAGTACTAATAATTGCAGTAGTATTAATAGTGGGGTAAGAGTTATATAAACCAAACAGTTCTAAAGGATTGTAAAAGTACATTTCATTCAAGGAAAAGAAAATGTGATGGGGAACTAACAGTGTTTATAATGATCAAAATATGAGCAGAAAGAACACAGAAGAGATATAACAAGTAATGGCTTTAAAGAAGCACAAAGGATAAAAACAACAGAAAAAAAAAGTAAAGGGAAGAGAACGAGGACAAGAGAATCTGTCTCTAAGTGGGAGAAGAAAGGAGAGAATGAGAAATAAGAGTAACAATAAAGCCAAAACAAATAAACAAAAATTCTAACCCTCAAAACACAAGGAAAAATAACTATCATAAAAAGTGCTAAAAAATAAGAAAAAAGAAACAAATATGAGTATGGATATACATGTATATCCATAAACCAACCAGCAGCACAGCAAGAGGGGAGATGGAGGAGGGAAGAAAGAAAGAAAGAGTGTTAATAAAAAATGAAAGAATTGTCTCCACTGAGGTAGTCAAATCTGTTTATGGGGATTGATGGTCACTGACTCTGGCCTATTACCCTTTCCATTTTTTTCTTGGGTTATGTTTCAGGAGGGGGGGGCGATGGAGAGGGAGAAGGGGGTGGGAGAGAGAGAACACCAAGGTCTGGTGTTGTAACCCCTTCTTCTTTTTGTATTGCTCGTGAGGCTGCCAGTTGGAGTGGCCTAAAATTGAAGCTGCTTGAGATAGTTTTCAGCTTCCCTTTTCAGCAGTTAAAGGTAGTATGGAATGGGAAGTATTGTCACTTGGAGTTTCGTGCAGAGAAAGGAGATGCAGGCACTCCCAGGGTGGGACTACAGCAGAGTTCCAAGTGGGATGTTCTGTTGGCTGGAGATGATCACTAATCAGTCCTTAGGAGCTTTGTTGGTGGTATTTGCTCTGGAGAGATGAGACCAATACGCTCCTAAGACGGGGAAGATGTGAATCTCTGTTGAGTCTAGATTCCAGAAGTCTCCCAAGAACTTACAGGAACCAACCCTCCATGGATCTCACCCTCCAGTGCCCAAATACACTGTCTTCCCAGGCTTAGACTCTGAATGTATTCATGCTTACCTGTTTGCTTTCCCAACCATCTTCAGCTAGTCACATGAACTGTCAGACTCAAAGTGAAAGCAATTTGCATTCCCCTCTGTATTACTGACTTGAATTTTTCTGGGTACGATCTTCTCTGTGCCTATTTCACTCACATTCTGCAAGGTACACCCTCGTTCACATGTAGATGCTTTCCGGGACAGTATGGCAACGTTTGCTATGATCTCCTGAAGCTGCCTGTCTCAGCTTTCTGCTTGCCAGTGGAGACACAGAGCACTTTTATTTATTTTTTATTATTACTTTTTTACATTACCTTATTTGTTTTCTTTTTTTTTTTTCTCTCTCTCTCTTTATTTTTAAAACACCAGTTCATTGTGCAGTCTCTCCATCAGCCACACTCAGACTGCTTCTGTGATCTACAGGTTTCGCCATGCCAAATTTGTCTTTTGTGTTTCTCTCCCTTCTGGGTGAACCAGTGCTTTTGCCATTGCTGCTGCCACAACTATCTTGGATCCAATGTATCTTTTCTTGTTCATTGTTCAGTGTACCTGGATTTCTGAGTCTCAGACAGACTCTAAGTGATATGAAGTTTTTAGTGAATTTCCCCTTTCACCTATGTCTCTAAGAAGCAGTACTCCTGGTGCTTGATTCCTGAGCCACAGAGCATCTAGAAATGCAGCCTTCCTCTAATCCGCCATCGTCAGTCTCCTTACTGTGTCATGTTCAATTTATATTTTCTCTTAAGTTTGTGGTGCTCCCTAAAGTTATTCTATTGTGACATCTGGCAGTACTAAGGGATCAATTGGGTTAGTTTAAAATTTAAAAAGGAGGCTGTCTCATTATTTTAGTATATATTTCTGACCTTGAAAGACAAATTTTTATTTTGGTTATAAATAACTCTCCATTATATTATCGTGATCTAGTGATTTGCTTTATAAAGTAGCATGAAGCATTTTATAGTCTTTTTTTCCAGGTTGTAGTAATGATTTTGAGGCTCCTGAAAATATGAATTATGTTATATTTCTCTGTAAAAATCAAGCCCTGGTACCTACTTGTTGCCTAAATAAATATTGACTTAAGTATTATTTTTGATAGTAATGCATCATTTTACAGAGTTTCAAAGGTAATACCATCTTTAGAAAAATACATCATAAATCTATGAAGTGTGATGAATGAGTTGCTATAAAAGCACAATATTTTTTTTGTCTCATTGTACCTTGTTTTATGAAATTTTCACAGCACATGGTTTAGTTGGTACTACTCTTTCTACCTGTTATTGAAGAACTGAAGCTGGCCACAGGTATCCACAGAAGATGTGGATATTCTTAGTTTTCACATTTTCAGATTAGCTCATGATTGTTAATTTTGCTTTCCTTAGGATTCCCCATAAATCAGTGACCATCTTAATCAAGGAAGTCTTTCCTTCTCTAGTCACAAACAGCAAAGTAAACAAACAAAAAAATGGGCTCATCTCTTTGTAATATGTGACTCATATTATACTGTAACAGTCCAGTATGTTCAGTTAATATTACTTTAGCAATGTTTTCTAATTAGTTTTGTTTACATTGATTTCACCATGAAATATTTTACATTTTAATTCAACTTTTCTTTTTTAGCTGTATTTTGGGGCGATATTGCCTTAGATGATGAAGACTTAAATATCTTTCAAATAGATAGGACAATTGACCTGACACAGAACCCCTTTGGAAAACTTGGACATACCACAGGTATGGCTATTTGAGTATTTTTTTGCTCATTTTGAAGAATACATAGTCTTGGCATGCAATGAATATTTTTTTGATCCTATTTAATGTCCCATGGAACAACTTTGATTTCTTGCACAGAAATTCGTATAACTAGACATTTTACTTATAGTTTTCATTTTATTAAACTTATTTTAGTGTTTTATTACATACCAGGCATGGTTTAAGTGATTTGCAGATATTAACTCTTGAATCTCATAACAAACCTATGAATGTTGGTACTAAAGTGATTATAATTAACAGATGAGGAGACTGAAGGATGTATAGCTTTCTTATTGTGACAAATAAGTGGCTGGGTCAGGAATAGAATTCAATTCTTGTAGGACAAATTTCATACTCTTCTGTTGCTTCCCACTTGGATATTCAGTTTCAAAATGTAAATTATTCTTTAAATAATTATATAGGAGCTTATTTAGAAGAATCTGTGTATCTACTGGTATGGATATATGAAAGTTTTATATAACTTTTTTGAAAACCCCAAGAGAGGATTTCATTTTAGTTGTTCTTAAAATTGGAATTATGACCATATAAGAATTGAACTCTATTAAATACTATTTAAATACTCATATTAAACTATTTTTATTAAAATTTAAAAATTAGTTATATTTTCATGGTAAGATTTTTAATCTGTGTTCTATTTTGGAGAAGAATTTTAAGGCTAAAAGAATAGAATTTCTTTTTGTAATTACAGCTAAAAAATGTATTTGATGTCATTTGTCATTGCATTACCATCCCCTTTATTAATTTTGTTTTTTTTTCTTTTCCATGGAAATCAAATACATAGTTCCTGTCTGATATCTATTAAACAAAATATATATATATTAGACCTAAGATTTGTTAATGTAAATCAATATCACTTTGCCCAATTTATTGCTTTTGCAACTTTTTTGGCAAATTTCAAACATGAAAAAGTCAATAGGAGAGTGCAAGTAGAAACATCAGCATGGTATGTCTTAGATTCAACAATTGTTAACAGTTTACTAGATTTGCTCTGCGTGTGCATATACATGTACAAATGTGTACAAAACATTTTGAAATTAATGGCAGAATATATAAAACACTTAATATAGGGTGATTAGTATACATTTTCTAAGAATAAGTACTTTGTCCTATGTAGTGAAAATAGCATTATCACATTTAAGAAAATTATTTAAAACAAGAAATATATATGATAAACCCTAAGGAATTTATTGAAAATAATAGTACATATTATTTAAGAATAGTATGCATGGCCTTTGTTTTATATATAGCGACTGTCTGTTCTGAAATATGCACCATGTGGGGGGGATGGAATCTTGTTTTACAGTGGAATCATAGATAGAACATTCCTGTTCAACGTGTCCACTGGCAGATTTTCCAGCGGCTGTATCCCATTTAACATTGTATTCTGAAGAGTAGAGAAATAGTATCACTTAGCAAAATCCTAGATTTTTGGAAGTTGTATTTTCAGTTTATACCAAAATTTTCATTTGCTTTGAGATTTATTTAGGTCATTTTTTTAAATCTCTCTTCCTTCATTATTTTGGAGCCATTAATTTTGTGATTTAAAAATTTCTAATACAATGATTTATTTTTGTTATTTAATTTAGGGTTAAATTCTGAGGTAGTATAGTTATAAGAGATAATAGCACTATATTAAATATGCAGACTAAAACTTACTCTGTTAATAATGGAAATATTTATTATAAATGTATATATGAAAGGTACACACATTTGAAAATTTAGTGGTAGCTTGCACTACTTAGAGGAAGTTTTAAAAATGTGAGATATCCTATATCTTATTTTTATTCTCTTTTTCTTTATTGTTAAATAATTTGTGCTAACTATATTTCTCTTTTCCTAACTTTATACTTTAAATTTTCTCCATAAATATTTAACTTGCATATTTCATTGTTTTTGAATATGTGGAGAAATAACCATTTCCCTTTTTCTATTTCAATAAATTTCCTCTGCAGAATTTTATTTCAACAGCTATAAAATTATTTAAAATGACTTAAAATATTATTCAAGACATTATTACCTTTGTCTTGAAATGCTGTTTTTCCAATTTTATAACAACTCTAGTCATTATAATTATCTTCATATTATAAAGACATTTCTTTTTTCTCACAAAGTCCCTTTTATGTCTATTTACAGGTATTTTAGGTCTGTGTAATATAAATACAGTTGCTACCTAAGGGTCATTTTAAACACATAGATGACATACTTTAAAAATGTTTCTTGTAACTGCTTAGGAATGAATACATTTCAGTATGACCTCATCTTTTAAAAATGTTCAGTGAAAAAATTTCAAAAATTTTTCTCAAGATGCAGAACAAAAATGTGACCATGTCATGCAAATAATTAGGCAGATTATTTCTCAGTGAACAAGCCCTATAACTTATTTGCCATATAAGGACTTATTTGGTTTTTCCTTGAAAAAGCTTATATGATAGTAAATTTTATTATAGTATTTTTAGCTTTAACCTAGGCTATTATATTTAATATTAACTAATTTTGAAGGCAAATTGATATTGGAAGGAAATTGTTCAAAGTCTTAGCATAGTTTGTTGACTTCATGAATTTCAGCCTGTCTCTCAATTTCAGCCTTTATGAACCATAGATGCTCAGTGGTCCAAATTCATCTGAATATGTTCTGATGTTGATAGTTGTTGTATTGATTGTTTGCTCAGTGATACCTCTTTTTTATTTGTCTATTAAAATTTAAGGAGATTAGGGGCTATAGCGGACAAAATTGAGGGCTGCATTTTCTAAAAGCCCTGGAAGGAGATTTTTTCTCAAAAGCTCTGCTTTCTGATTTAGGACAGAAACCTATCTTTTAAAGTCTTTGTCAGAAATTTTTATTAAAGACATATTTTCTTGTTCTTTTTTGTCCTCTTCCTTTTGAATTTTAATATTCTTTAGATGTGTTTTCATAAATTTTATAAATTACATAATGTAATGGGATGCATTTTCAATTGAACATCATTTAGGTTCTTGTGATTTTCTTCTAATTCCAAATTTATTCCAAAATAAAATTAATTGGAGAAACTTGATTTTCTTAAAATGACATTTTTAAAAAATTTAGTTGAATATATTATAAAATATATTAAAAAGTTTTCAAAAATTATCAAGACTTTGGAGCAAAACTTGTGCTACTGGATATAAAAATATCCAGTTTGCATAGAGGAAATAGCTGAAATACAATCAGTAGAGCAGAACAACTTGCTGTTGTTATTACATATAACATTATGTGATGTCATGGTCACAATGAAGAAAAATTCTTCAAATTATCAATAGATGAATGAATTGTCATGATGTCCAAATAAAGTCATGATTCAGATTGCTCTCTAAATGCCCCACACATCCTTTATTTTTAGTTAGCAACATTTGTTGCTGTAGAATTTTTACCTTACACAAGGATTCATGGATATTCATAACTCCAACACGTTAAGATCAAAGAAAGGATGTCCAGAGGAAACCAGTATAGCATATTACTATTGTTTATTTGTGAGAACTTGAAAATACATTGAGTGTAACTCAAGTGTTTTCTTGTATTCTTTAAGGTGGACTTGGTGACCATGGTATGTCAAAGAAATGAGGGGCCCTCTATCAACTCATAGACAGGATAAGAAGAATTGGCTCTGGTATATCAATGTTTAAAGTTGCAGACGCTTGACTTGATGTACAGTAAATATTATACTCATAGAAGTTTGGTTAATTAAAATCAGTGTGCCATTATGACATGAAGCTTGTAAAGAATATATGCTGAGAAAGAGTCCTTTCTTTATTTAATTTTGTTAGCCAATATATGATACAAGGATTTTAGAACTTAATTTGAAAAATTTGAAATGTTCTTTTAACTTATTTTAAGTTTCTATTTTAAATGTATTAGGTATTTATTTTGTTTATACTTATTTCCAGTCAATTGAGTATCACAGCAAGATATTTTAATAAATCAAGAAGCTATATCAATTTTAATCAAATGGAAAAATATCATACCTATTTCTTTTTAAATAAGTCGCTTAAATTGACAAACTAATTTCTTACATTGAAAAGGTAATGTGTTTTTTATCATGAAGCATACATTTAAGATATTCAAAGAAACTACTTTCTGGTTTTATAATTAGTAAATATTTATTGAAGTTATTAAATGCTCTTTTTGGATTTTAGTTTTTTTTAAAATCCTTTATTCATGCTTATATTCTAACATCTCTTAAATTGATTAATAATTAAATTTTTGAAGTGCTTTCAAGTAATAATTTTCCTAAGCAAAAGATGCTTTGCCCCAGGACAGACATAGGTACAGGGAGCATGCATTTAATACTTGTTGTGTCAAAACATATTCTAGTAAAAAAGCATTTGTATCAACAATGATAGATGAATATAAAAAAAAATGTAAATTTATGAAAAACAAGACAGTAACTGAAACTATTACAAAAGGCCACCAAGAAAAGTCAGACTAGACTTGGAAGCTGCTCCAGAGAGAATGCATTTTATATGAGCCTGCTCTTGAGGTGCCTACCTCTGAGTCATGCTGATACGTGGAGAAGAATTCAGGGGAAAATGGAATGGAGATGGCTGAGTGTTCCCAGGAGTCAAGACCACATCTATCTTTATGTTATTTTGTTGATTATCAATATAATGTAATATTCATAATTTTAGACCATATTATAGAATATTAATTTTGATTTAAAGTATGAGGGATTTAGCCAGAATAAGAAGAGTCTTGAATACCACATGACTTTATTAAATAATATATATTTTATTATTTTGGGGAGAATTGGTAGTGAGTTAGTAAAATAGAAAATATAAAACCATTTTTCTATGGCTTATATGCCTGTGTGAATTCTACCTGCTGTATACAGTTGTATGAAAATTCTTCAAAATTCATTTATAGAGCATTAAGAAATAGTATTTGGATATGAAATACTTAAATATTTTAGTGCTTTTCTAAGCTATGTAAGATAACTAGAGTTTTTTAAAAATGAATTTTGACTTCAGGCATATTTATTCAAATATGTAAATAAGACATTTCAACTTTTGTCCTTTAAGAGGTAAATGATTCCCTGACAGAGGACTTCTGTTTCACAGAATGTTTTAAATGTCACTGCAGGCTTGGAGCAAAACACCACAGTTAAGGGAAAAGTACCTCTAAAATTCTCAGGGCAAAATGAGAAAAATCGAGTTCCCAGAGCTGCTACATCAAGAACTGAAAGAATATGGCCTGGAGGTGTTATTCCTTATGTTATAGGAGGCAACTTTACTGGTAAGATATTCCCAGAGTGACTGCTTTGATAAAGAAACACAATTACCATGCAGATTAAGTGTGCATTTTTATAGAATAGGAATATAGCAACCATAGTATTCAATCAAACTTGGAAAAACACTCCCTTAACCTAGGTTACTAGCTGAGAATATCTCTGAAACTTGGAAAAGAATAACTTTACCCTAAGAGTCTAAAGAAATGTTCTGGTTTTTAAACTGAGCTTCAAATGCGCCTATTAAATCTGGAAGCTGATCTCTCTTCAACTGACAGGAAGAATGTATACACCATCTATAGAGCCTTGTACACACATATTTGTAGAGATAGAGAGCCTTGACCTTCTGATTATAAAGTGAGTTTTGATTGTTAATAATGACTCATCTGGGGTGCTATAAGCTAGTACTCTTTGTTTAGTGATAACAGTGGCATTCTGAATTGCCGGACGGAGGAGCCAGCACAAAGCACTCCTCCCTGGAGTGGACACCATTGTATTAAAGTCCTGCCATTTTTTTCCAGGCAGCCAGAGAGCCATGTTCAAGCAGGCCATGAGGCACTGGGAAAAGCACACCTGTGTGACATTCATTGAAAGAGGTGATGAAGAGAGTTACATTGTATTCACCTACAGGCCTTGTGGGTAAGTAGAACCAGGGAATGATTGAAGTTCAGATGGGAAAAAAAAATTAAACTCCACAAGTAGGATTTCTTTATTAATATTTGCATAGAACTTTGGCAATGAGAAAGTCTGAGTTTTACATCAGAAAATATTATATATTAAATGAATATATTCTAGGACCACAGAATTTTGTGCCTATAGGGCAAGTGGGTTCCTCCCTCCACCACACCACTTTCTAACATTGGCATTGCTGATATCCACTCACCCAAGTTCAGAACTTGAGCATACTTGTGCTTCTGGTGTGCTTCCTCTGAAATCTATTTTCACCTCGTCCCACGTTAGTGCCCTGGTTTGCTCACATCTTCAGCATCCCATGCTTGGGCTATTCTTCTGTCTTACCTCATCAATTTGCTGCCAAACTAGAATTATTTTCTAAACGTATTGGTCAGAGCAAGATTCTACATTTTCTGAGTGTCTTAGATATTCCCTCCCACAGTAGTGTTTTCCAGATTTGCTTCTTGCAAGATAACAACTACTTTCTCAAAAATAATATGTCCCATGCTTATATAATTAATCAAAATGAACTCTAATATTATGTATAACTATAATGCACTAATAAAACAAACCTCAAAAAGGCTTCTGTAAATTGTGAAAATGCTGTGCTATATTTTAATAGATATTTTTACAGCAGTGTGGCAATGAATCTCAGTATTATTATTTTTTAATTATTATTATTATTATTATTATTATTATTATTATTATTATTATTATTATTTTGGTACCAGGGATTGAATCCAGGGGCATTTAACCACTGAGCCACATCCCTAGCTATAATATATATAAAATCTTAGAGACAAGTCTTTCTGAGTTTCTTAGGGCCTAAGTTGATAAGGCTGGTTTTGAACTTGTGATCCTCCTGTCTCAGCCTCCTGAGCCACTAAGGATTATAGGCATGTGCCACCTACTCAGCTCACTAAGTTGCTGAGGTTAACTTTGAACTAATGATCCTCCTGCCTCAGCCTCCTGAGCTGTGCTACTGGGATTATAGTGTGGTCCATCATGACTGATGGTTTTATCATTCTTTTGAAATGGTGGTGCTACCTTTAAATCTCATAAAAAATCATTTCAATTATTAAGGAGTTTGGAAGTTGGTGTTGTACAAAGTGTTTAGGGCCAATGAGAATAAGATATGTGTATGTCAAACACTTAACACTCTCATTGGATTTCATATTGGTTCTTTTATGTCGTCAAAGCTATGGCACTAAATAAATAAATGCTGTGGTATTTGGTTATTCAGATTAGAGAAGAAGTTAATTTATGATATACATATTGAATTCCCATGTTGTGTTACCTCCATAGTATGTGTTGGGATGTGAACATTGAACATAAGGCATTCCCTCTGAGGAGGACGTAGATAGGCAGATTGGGGGGTGTGATAGTCAAGATTCTTAGTTGCAAACACCAGAGATGAGCTAACTGAAGCAGGAAGAAGAATGTCTCAGAAGGTTATTAGGTAATAATTAGAATCACATGAATGGAGAATTGGAGAGAGAGGCTGTGGGATGAATCAATCTTGGCTCCCTCCTGCACATCTGAGATCTGCTCTTTAAAGAAATATCTACTGTGTTCTACCATATGCCAGGCTGTGTTCTAGGGGCTGGAGATAACAGGAGTGTCAGACGGAGAGTCCTATGTACCCATGGAGCTTACATTCTAGAGTGGAGATGCAGAGATGAAGGGATGAAATAAGTGAAATATAAAACATACCATTAACTGCAGGTTAAAGACGGGAAAAAAAAAAAGAAAGTGGAGTGGAGGTGGCCTTTGTCAAAGGACTTGAAAATCTTAGGGTAAAGAGGCAACTGGGTATCTGGGAGAACTGAGTTCTTGAGGAGGAATGATAAGCAAGAGCTTGTCTGCATTTTCAAGGAAGAGTAAGGAAGTAAGCATGGCTGGAGTCGATGGAGTGACAGGAGGGCTGGTTGTAAGAGATGAGCTCTGTGTGGTGAGAGATTTTTGTGCGGAAATTGTTTAGGATCTTCTTGTATTTTGTAAAGACTTAAAAGAACCTGATTTAGTCAGATTAGCAAATTTATACTACGGTAAACAAGGATCCCTCAATCTCAGAGGCCTAGACCAACAGACTTTTATTTCTTTGCCCACGATGGCTTAGCTGTGGCTGCGTTACAGCGGGGTTACTCTCGCATCCAGTCTCTCTACCCATTGTTCTCCCTCCAGCAGATGCAATAGAGACAGTATGGTCAACCATGTGTTGGCTCTTAAGAGACTCTCCCCAGAAATGATACAAACAATTTGGGCTTCTGTGACATTGTCCAGAGCAAACCACATGACCAAACCCAGCATTAGTGGGATAGGGAAATATAATCATCTGTTAGAGAAGGGTAATGGATATTTTAAACCATTGACACAATTTACCGCAGAGCTATTCCAGAATAGTATAATCTGATTTGTCGTTTTAGAAGCATCTTGGTGCTAAGAAAACTGCTGCAGGAAGGCTAGAACAGAGAGAATCATCAGTTAGTACATGATTTCAACACTCCATGTGAGATTCCATGGTTGGACTGGGTGTTAACAAGGGAGACGATGACAAGATGATTGATTCTGGATATAGGCTGAAGGTAGAGCCAACAGGATTGACTGTTGGAGGACAAAGGGAGGATTCAGGAATCCTGGCATTACTCAGCCTGAGCGTCTGGAAGGTTGGAGCTCCCTTTAACTGAGATGGGTAGGTGAGAAGGTAGATCGGGTTTCTTGGAGAGGAAAACTAGGAACACAATAAATTGAAACATTTATTATTCTACAAATGCAGACATTAAGAAAGTTGGGTGACTATTTGAGCCTGGTATTGGACAAATAGTGCTATCTCTGGACTAGCTCTGCTTTAAATCCTTGTGATAAATCAGTGAAGCGAAGAGATGAAGGTTCTTGTCCTGATGACTACCCCATTCTAATGGTGGGCACTTAAATTTTAGTGGCCTTTTATAGGAGTTTATCATAGAAAACAAGAATAAAAGAGAGGAAGGAAGGATGAAGAAAGGAGTTATTAAAAAATGTAATGATTAAACTAAAAATAATTGGAAATATAGCTGATGAAAAGGTAGAAGGCACTCCAACCTTTTAATGTTGGAATGTCCCAAAGGATTATCTTAAAGGAAAGTGTTTTGGTCTGCCAAACCAAGGTGAAAATAGGGAATAGTATACTTGGATTATTCCCTATGATTAGAGAGAGGTGAGAGTTTCCTATGGGTGTTGAAAGCATTTCTTGAGGTACCAGATAGACCACAGGATGGTCAAGTTGTAAAAGTGGCACACAAATTAGAAGTAAAAATTTGAGAGCCATATTGAAGAAAATGCTTTCAAACCTGGATTACATTAGAAGCTAAGATAATGTTTGGGTATGATTAAATCACATTTTTCTAAATTGCATGTTACCCTATCACTCCATGCCTAATATTTGTCTAAGTACATATTTAGTTAATCTGAATGTAGAATTCTTTGTTCCTAAGAGCTCTCGTTAGTCAGGGATCAAAGCACCACATTTTTCTTGTTTCACAGGACCACTGTAAAATAATAACTCATGGATAAGGCAGTGTGAAATCTATTTTTCCTTTCCATTATGAAATCCCATCTTATTATAGGAAATTGCAATGGGTAAAATTATGCTAAAAGGGTGTTTTAGGATTAAATAAATTGACCACGTTGCTTTACTGTCTCCCAGAATTTGTTTTGCAAAGTGCTGTCTTCTCTGACTATAACCAGCAGAAATGACTCAATGTGAGTAATTTAGTGGTTATATAATCATCAGATATTTCAGTTTCAATACTACTGCCTTAAGGTATCAAATATTTCAGTTTTAATCTCTATAATATTTGCACAAAAATTGTATCTCTATATCTATTACTTATTAGGTATGTAATAAATATTTGAGTATGTAATAAGTATATATGGATTAAAATATTAAAGAAAATTCTCAAGGCAAAAAGACAATTCAGATTTTCACCTTCCCCACCAATTTTCTCTTTTCTATTACTTACTTATTTATTAGGCTTAATTTACTGCTATACTAGATTTGCACATAATGAGTACTAATGAGTTCATCTAACTCAGTTAAAATATGTAGACACTTAAAACCTAATTAGAATGAATGAACAAACAAATAGGTAAATGAATAAATAAGTTAAAAACCTACAGAAATAATTTGGGTAAGAAAGAGACTGACACAGGAATTTATATTTGTGCAAAATCAAAAGACCATCTAATGTACTTACCCTGGAAATTAAAATAGTAAAATTCTTTTTACTCCTTTGTGCAATTAATTTTTGACAATTTTTCTTTTAATTTAATAAATCAGAGAGGTGTTTGACAATGTCTAGTGCACTGCAGTTCCCAACTACTCAAGACTAATTATTTAGTGTTCTCTAATGCTGTTTAGGAGAAACATCCTATAGACAAGCTATTTCAATTCAAACCTGATTATCAAAGTTTTAGATATGATTTTATTTGCATTTATAATGATAGCTACTATTGTTATATCACCTAAAATTTGTTTTAAAGGGTGTCCAATGTATTTATTATTTATAGAGTGTGTGGATAAGAGACTTCCAGACTGTTATGCACTCATACATACATGTGTGCATACACACACACATAAATGAATAAATAGAACTTCTATTTTGGATAGAAAAACATTCTATGTATACACATTTATAAATATATAAATATCAATAATTCAATCAAGATTTGCAGGAAGGTATTTCTGGGTGTTTCACATTTTTTTCCTGATAATCCAGGAGATTCTTTTAGACAGTGAGATTAAAAAAAATCACACCTCAAATGTTAGTCTGAACAATAGACAGAAATCACAGAAATCTAATACTTCTTTGAACTATTAACTATTGTCAGCGTTTTTTTTTTTTTAACCAGTTTTTGCAGACAATTCAGGATGCTATAAGAGAACACTATAGGCTTGGTGACTTATAATGAACAAAAATTTAAATTTCAGCTTGGAGCCTGGGCACTGCAGATAGAGTGTCAAATGAGAGACCACGTCCTGGTTCCTTAGGTTATTTATTTATTTATTTATTTATTTATACTGGTGATTGAACCCAGGGGTGCCCAACTGCTGAGTCACGTCTCCAATGATTTTTATTTTTTATTTTGAGACACAGCCTGCTTATTGCTGAGGCTGGCCTGCGATCCTCCTGCCTCAGCCTCCAGAATCACTGGGATCACAGGCATGTACCACTATGCTATGGTTCAACACAACTATTCACAAAAGTTCCACAATATTGTAATTTATCCATTTTTCTCTTCCACCAACATCTCCACTTTCTACTTTCTTATAGATGCTGCTCCTACGTAGGTCGGAGGGGAAATGGACCCCAGGCAATCTCTATTGGAAAGAACTGTGATAAGTTTGGGATCGTTGTTCATGAACTGGGCCACGTGATCGGCTTTTGGCATGAGCACACAAGACCAGATCGAGACAACCACGTAACCATCATAAGAGAAAACATTCAGCCAGGTGAGAGATTTTAGGGTGTGTAAAATTATTATGTTTTGTAAACAGTGTAAAATATGTGGCGGAGTCAATATGTTATTTTATTAAAAATCACTCTTGGTGGTTTTATATTTTTAATTTCTTTTTAGAGACTGATTTCCTGCATTTTCTAGGCTTTGTTTATTTCTTAAGGTCTGTTTTCTTTCTAAATGTCTGTCCTTTTTCAAGAATAGGTGTGCACTATTGAACAATATACTAATATTATTAAATGATTATTTTATTTGAACTGTTTTTATGCTTAGATCTATAATTTATATTATGAGACTTAGAAAGAGCCAGGGTTTGCCATGACATGCACAGTAACCACAGGAATCTACATTTATCATGTATAATTTCTGAAGAAAATGCCAGTGAAATGAGTCATTTCCAGGATTGTCTACATAGTTTCTTTGAGATTTTTCTCTTAAACTTGACTTTGCCAACGACAGACTATTAAGAATATTTTTAGTAGTTGAAATATAATTTATAATTAAATTTTAATTTTCTTTTAAGAGTTGGTATATAATAGTTGCATCATTGTAAAACTGTTTACTTAACTTTCACATTTGCAAAGATCAGTAAGTACATTTCCATCTCTACCACCCCCCCTCAAAAAAAAATCTGTTGTTTGGAATTTTTTTATAAGGTAGTATGCACTTTTAGCAAAAGTAAAATAAAAATGTGATCTTACTTTCTTGTTCATGGAAAATTTTAAGTTATCAGTGTTGAAATTCTTATCATTTTTCTATAATTCAGAGTTGCTTTCTTTATTTGCTCATTATATATTTGGTACCAGTTAATGCTGAGGCACTATTAGACATTAAAAGGTACTGTCATGGAAAACATAAAACTTTGTATCTACACAAATGATTTCAAGCGAATAAGAAAAGTACCTGTCATATTGAGAATACTGCAGAAAAGAAGCAAGTTGTAACAAATGTGCATTGGCAAATCCAGAGAGATGTCACACACAAATATGAAATTTGGAAATAAAGTAAGAATATTTATTGCAGGTGGACCAGAAAAGTGGTCAAATTTGTAGGCTGAAAATACATGATCTTTTTCACTTAACTGTTGTGGTGGCATGTTGAACTATGAGTGAGAGTTAGTTGACAACTACCTGGGGAGGGTGGAGAATCTTTTCTGTGAATCTAAGAAATTTAGATTGTATCCTGTAGTTACTGGGGAATAAGTGAAGGATTATAAACAGAGAAAGTTAAGATTTTTAAAAGAGGAATTCTGTAACCTGCAATAAACATTAATTGGGGGTGAGGGGAAGATGAGCCTCAAGTGAGGGAAACCTATTAGAGGTTTGAGAGGTGGCTGTGTTCTCAATTAGGGTAGGACAGGGCAAGAGGAAGAAGAGAGTCTTAAAATGTTTTAAGAGGAACATAAGGAAAGATCTGCAAAAGCTTTATCTTCAGACAACACGATGAATTGTGGTATCATCAATTGAAAAAAGAAACACTGGTGAAGAGGCTTGGTTCTGAGAAAAAGAAATAAAAAATACTGATTCCACTTAACACATCCCTCAATTCAAAGACCCTTTGTATGATCCTCCTTTACTAGACAAAGGAAAGGCGAGTTGGGACTTTAGTATGTATCTGGAGATAAACATTTTGTAGTGGATTTGACCATCTAGGGAAAAACTGAGGGAGAAGAAGAAAAAAGTGGAGCATAGAAAATGAAAAGCAACAAGATTTGAGCAACCTTTAGAAGAGTGTCCACCAGAAGACCAAAGGTGTCCTCTAAGAGGTAAAAGAAAAAATCAGTGGAATGTGATGTTCCAGAAGCCAAATGAGGAAATCAATTCAAGAATGACAAAGTGATCTGTAGAGCTGGATACTAAAGAGAAGCAAAGAAAATTTATACTCCCCCCAAATAGAAGCCCCGGCCTGAACCATCCATCAAAGTTCATCTTTATGCTTTATATCATTGAGAGAAAAACTTAAGAGGAAACAATATTTCTGAAAATTAATTCAACTATCAAGGAAATGAGAAGCTTTCTATTAACCACTGCTATTTTCTTCTATTTGCCAAATATTATGTGGAATCCCCCAAATACTCTTATAAAGCACATATATTTCAAAAATGATTTTACCATTAAGAGGATTTCTGATTCAACATAAATATTACCTAAAACAGGGGAAAATGTGTAGGTATTATTAAGAAATAGATTATGATACCTTAATACCTGACATAGTAGTAGGAAAATTTTGATCAAATACTTTTTTGACTAAACATTCAGGTCAATTGAAAATAAAAGATATTTCCAGAGATTTCTTAAGTGATTGGAACTACTGTATCAGAACTACTGTACCAGTCTGAAAGCATTCATGTTAGAGATTAGTTATCAACAAATTATGAGTTTCCCTAACTCAGAGACTTAAGATCAGGTGTTTCTCAAGAGCTCTGGGTAATAAAAACAAATGCTGGTTTCATATTTACATGCAAAATTGGTGACTATGATTAAGAGGTAAATTGGTATGAGGATCAAATTTATATTAGAAGATACATTCAAGAAAGAAGCTACCATTTATTTTAATTGTTAAGTGTGGGTCACCCTGTTTCTATCACTGATTCTCCCCTTCTTGCAAGAAGCAAGTCTAATTTTCTTTTGTTTGGATTGTATGTGGCTATGTTCTTTTTAACTAGCAAACCTTTCTGTTTCACATGTTTAAGTGATAAGTTATATGCAGGGAAATGCATTTCTGAATTTGGTTATGTTTCACTTTCAGAAAATTTATGAAATTTTGCTTTAACTAGAGAATCTATTCTCATATGGTGTTCTAAATTGAAATCTTGTTGATGGGTCACAAAATCTGGTCTATAGGTTTTTGAAGATTCCCTCTAGAATGGGATATGCTATAATATGCTGAAAATTCCTTAGGAAGACAAGAATTTGAATGAAAATTCAGGATAATTTTTAAGAATGTTTTCTAACACACATAGATATATCAAATATTTGTGGAAAATATATTTCACTATATAGGCTAGATAATTAATTTAAAATTTTTTATGGTATGAATTCATTTGAAGATGCACTAAAACACTTTAGCCTAGAACAGGGTTCTATGGATCCAAGTTGTTTCCTTCATCCCTAATGCTCAAATGAGTATTGGTTTCATCATTATGTAAGAGAGATGTTATATTGTAAAATCACCAGATTTCTTTACTGCCTTTTGGAAAACTTTTTATTTAATATTTTTATGTTTAATAGAAATATGACAGGGGACTAAAAACCTAGTTATAATAATGGTATGATCATTTCATTCCCAGCCCTATATGAATTTGGAATTCTAGTACTTCACCTTTAAATAAAATGTTTCAAAGCTTTGCAAATTACATAAATAACATGACTTGCATCATCTTCGACTGATTTAACAGTGAAAAGGGAATCATTGAAATGTAAACTCTCTTGAAAGAAATTCTTTGGTTTGGGAACTATTGATGTAGACCCATGTATTTAACTCTTTTTTTTTCAAATTTCAGGAAAAAATGTTGCCTAAAAAGGTACAGACAGGCAGTCGAAAATCTCTTAAAATTGAAGATGTCCTGAAGTTAAGATAGCAGATGTGCAAAGGAAAAAAAAAGTTCTGAAGCATATTATTCTTGATTCAAAAGCTGTCAAAGTAGAAACTTCTTTTTCTCAAGGGGAACCTTGTTTTATTTTTGAATGAAAGTAGATTTGCTATTGTTTTATCACCAATGATGAAGTCATGTAGCTATAACCTCAGAGTTGTGTTTATACTAATATTGTTTTTGTATCTTCCCACAGCGTTTCTTAGAAAGGATCTAAAGCAAATAGTCAGATAATTTTTGTGGGTCCTGGCAAACGTAGTCATGAGAAAAAGATGGGAAACGCATTAAATAAAAGCATAACTTTACAATCACTTCTACTGTACCCAGAGAAGCAGTATGATTTTAAAGAAACAAATATTATGCGGTATTAACAAGTATACACAGAAAACAAACCCAAAATATCCTTCTGGTAATTTCCTTTCTGCAGAACTGAACTCATTGTTCAAATTCAGTTCTTTTGCAACTTGCTCTTTTAATATGATATCGGAGTGCAAATGATTTTGCACACATCTGGGAGTTGGTATGTAAATACAATCAGCAAAAAGATCAGTCATTTAGTTGAAAGCAGATGCAGGTCTAGGAAGCGCTCTTATGTTCTTTCAGTTAAAAGGCTTCTGTGCTTTTGTTTATCCCCGATTCATAGGTCAAGAATACAATTTTCTGAAGATGGAGCCTGGAGAAGTAAACTCCCTTGGTGAAAGATACGATTTTGACAGTATCATGCACTATGCCAGGAACACCTTCTCAAGGTTGGAGTCTCAGGTTATACCTTTTGACTTTTAATCCCTTTCTCCATGTGGCCTCTCACAAAGCTATGTTTGACATTAGAACCAGACCATCTTCCAGTATCGCTGCCTCCTGTCAGAAAGAAAGTAGAAAAATAATGGTTAACATTCATAGCTAATAGCAGGCATTCACTTAAAAAGACATTTTACATTACCTATCCAATGTATAAATTTAAAGTGATCGTTTTAAAATGATTTAAACAATTTTATATTCATAAATTATAAAAGAAAGTGCAATTAAAACCATTACCAAACTAATCAGCACATTACATTGGCAAAGTATTGCTTAATGAAATTCAGGCATTCCTAAAGCAACAGGTTACTTTATTGTTGAGTTTGAATTATATTCTCTAAAAAGAGTGTTTTGTAATGTAGATTTTCATTTTTTAGTACTCAAGTACCATTTATGGTCAAAAATTGATATTACTAGATGGATTCTCAAAGAAGGTGGTTAAGAAGATATTTTATTTCCACGTAGTTGACAATTACAGTTCATCAATTGCTAACCTTAAATTTATTCCATTAGTAACTGAATGCTGTTTTTAAAGAGATAATACATTTGGGTTTTGATCTACTTTACTCTAAAGATGATGCCATCAAGCAAATAGTTCCCAGGTAAGGATGTGGAAGAATTTAAGCACTGACCTCCTTGATCCCTTCTTCCTATTGACATCAGTTTTACACTAACCTTCCTGCCCATTTCCATTCATTCTTCTTGCCCACTTATGTTCATGTCACATTTCATTAGCATCTATTTTTAAAAACCAGATTAGGAAAAAGAGAAAAATATTCAAATGTATTCCTATGCTCTAAAAACAATTTTCTTGGTAAAAAGTAAAATACATGTTAATGACCCCTTAATACATGAAAACATTTTAAAATTATCTTTATCTGGGCTAGGTGGCACATTCCTATAATCCTAGCAACTTGAGAGACTGATGCAGGAGGATCGTGAGTTCAAAGCCAGCTCAGGAACTTAATGATGCCTGAATGCTGAATGCTCTAAATAAAATATAAAAAGTGTTGGAGATGTGACTCAGTAGTTAAGTGCCCCTGGGTTCAATCCTCAGTACCAAAAAAAGAAAAAATAAATCTTTTTAAAAAGTCTGAATGTAAAAAATTTGAGAGTTGACTATATTTAACATTCATAGATTTAAAAGTCATTACCTTCTGAAGATATATGATATTTATTTTTGTGCAAATGTGATAACTATTCAGATACAAACTGTTCATTCCTGGATTTGAATTTAAGTTTTTGTAGATATGTATCCAGAAATTTGGCCTGAAATTAACCCTAAAATTTTATTTTTAGGTCAATGCTTGAAATTCATTTTTACATGTAAATACGTAAGAAGTTGATCGTTGCATCCCAGTTCATCCAAGACACTGTTCTCACACTGTTGAATTAGATTATTTAGAATTAACCTGGGATTTAATGCTTAGAGAAGAGGAAGTGAAAGAAATTTATCTCCTCTGTCCTTCATAGGATGAATCTTTACTAAGGATTACCATATGTAGCATATTAGCATATTATCTTAGTCTGTACTACTTTGATATTACATTGCATTTTTCCCCCCAAAACTATTGTGTTCTTGCTGCCTGCTTTCAATCACCACCAACCTATCTTTGTATGGTATGACAACTAGCTTTGATCTATGATTCTGTTTCAAGACTTCATTCTTGTGGATATTCAGATTTGTGACACCATTTGTTTAAAAAAAAAACTCTTTGCCCAAATGAGTATGGTTATGGCACTCATGTTAAAGATAATTTGACTTTATATATGAAGTTTATTTCTGGCCCTTGTTATTTCATTGATCTGTAGCTCTGCAATTATGCCAGTACCACATATTTTGGTTGCTATAGCTTTATAATATGTTTTGAAATCATTCCTCAAAAGTCAAAGTATGAGTTCTTCAAGTTTATTTCTTTTCTTAAAATTATTTCAGCTTTTCATTTTCTATTGAGGTTATACATAATTTATAAAGTGTTTTATTTTTAATTCTGCAAAAAAAATCTCTTTGGGATTTTGATAGGGATTGTAGACTGGGTAATATGATATGTGAACAAAGAATATTTCTATTTTATATGTCTTCTTTAATTTCTTTTTTTAAATATTTATTTTTTAATTTTTAGGTGGACACAATATCTTTATTTTATTTTTATGTGGTGCTGAGAATCGAACCTTACGAATGCTAGGCAAGCGCCCTACCACTTGAGCCACATCCCTAGCCCCTCTTCTTTAATTTCTTACCACATTGTTTTTTTTAGCTTTCATTTCTTTGGTTAGTTTTATTTCTCAGCCATTTTTTAATGCTATTATAAGCAGAACTTTTCTACTTAATTTCTTTTGCGATTGTTCTGTGTTACTCCACAGAAATGACTTTCTTATATTGATTTTGTATCTTTGTTTCATTATTAGTTCTAACAGTTTTTGTAGAGTATTTATGGTTTTACACATAAGAACATGGCATCTGTAAACAGAAATAATTTTTGCCTTTCCAATTTGGCATGCATTCTATTTATTTTCTTCTTTTCTCCCTCCCTTTCTCTTTCCTTCCTTCCTTCCTTTCTTCCTTTCATCCTTCTCCTTACCTCTCTCTGTCTCTCACTTTTGTTTTCTTCTTTCTCTGGCTAACACTTCTAGTACTGTGTTGAACAGAAGAGGTGACAGACGACAGGTATCCTTGCCTTGTTCCTGATCTTAGTGGAAGAGCGTGTTTTCCACCATTGAATATGATATTAACTCTAGGCTTTTCTCATGTGGCTTGTGTTATGTTGAGATAAATTCCTTCTATTTTTAGTTTATTGAGTATCATGAAAAGAATCTCATCATGATAAATACTTTGTCATGCAGAATCTTCACAAATGCTTTTTTTTTGTTTTTATATCAACTGAGATGATCACAGAATTGTTGTTCTTCATTCTGCAGATGTAAACATATAAAGTTTTATAATTTCTTCTGTTCATAACGCTTGTAGATTCCGAAAAGAGTCAATAAAAGTTTCAATTGTTTTCATGAGTGTAGATCAATAGCAGATCTGGGAGAAACAGGGCTGGACCCATGAGGTTTTAATGCTCATGGATATTTTGTAATGTAGATGTTTGCACACTGGAAAATTCTAATTTTTCACTAAAAAGAGAGTTATAATATTTTGCAAAATTTTATTTAAAAACATGGCTATTTTTCTCTTTAATTGTAGCTAAAGTGAATGAATAATGGAGCTTGGTTAGTATACTCCCAACTGGATGTGACTCAGGCCTGTTCATAAGATTTCACTGAGATGATCCATTAAAAGTCTGTCTTGCTCAATGGCCAGGATGTAGGGAAGAGAATTTTTAACTTCTTGGTGATGACAAAGAAAGAACACAAGAATAAATCACTTAACCTCTTTTTGAATAATTACTTCTTTAGGCAGAATGAGGCTTTAATGTCCATGGATATTTTGTAACGTAGATGTTTTCACACTGGAAAACTCTCACTTTTTAATAAAATATTTCATAAAAATATTACAAAGATATGAAATATTTTCACCTCCAAAATATCATTGACCATTTAAAATGGAATCTTTTTTTGAAAGCTGGAAAATATTAAAAGTTTTCAAATATTATAAATTTATTTTTGAAATAGAAAATAGTGACATCAGTATGGAAGGACTTCATATATTGTAGCACTTTATTAATTTAGAAATAGCTTTTCTTAACACTACCTGCTAATTTAGCCTTTCATTTCCTTTGCAGTGTCTTCTCCAGGGGAGAATCTTACAACTATATGCAAACTCTCCCTTTTAATGATCAGTTCCCACAAATCATTAATCTTCACCCACATCTCAGGTGGTATACACATAGGATTTTGTTGATGCTTGGATCTGGTTTTAAAGAGTTCCACTGTCCTTATTTGAGTTATTCAAGTTAAATCTAATGTTCATCACTCTTCCTTTTATTAAAAACTAGAGAAGTTAGTCTTAAATTACTCAGAGATCATGTTACTCTTCTGTTTACCAACTTTCTACAACTTTCCAAGATTAACAGTTGTCCTCCAGGTAAGAGTTAAATTCTCTGGCTGGTGCTCAAACTTTCAAGATCCTCTCATCTCCAAGCTATTGTGTTTCTTGTTCTTTCTCTTGGGGAACACTCTACTCTCAGTTACACATATAGCTCTGACCTTCACTTCTTGTATGTTTGGTTAAAACGTCAAATCCCAAATAAGTTTTTTCTTTTCAATCATCCTCTTAAAAAGCCAGCTATCATAACTGCACAATCAATATCCAAAATTTTACCTTTATATTTTCTCCCTAGCACTATCACTACCTCAATTATGAATATCTTGTTTAATGCCTTTCTCCCGACATTAGTCTGTTAGAATCTTGAAGGTGTGACTTTCTGTCTGTTTTATTTGATGTATAAATCCAGACCTAAAACAGTGCTTAGTAAATATCTCCTAATGGGAGAATTAAATAGACCTGAAAATGTTGTTCTGTTAAAGGAACGTCCTATTGGTTATCTTAATTTGAAAGATATTTTATGATTCTATTTCTTAAATTTATGTACAGTTTTTCCACTTTTTTTATCCATATACACAGACTCCATACTTCTCAACTCTTTGGAATAGTCTCTCAGTCTATTTTGACTTTTAAGCTTACTACTTCTTTTTGAGTTATAAATGTTTGATATATATTGCAAAATTAGAATGCAACTTTAGTGCAGTGTAGCCAGAATATTAAATGATGCATATTAAGAAAAATAGCAATTCTCCTACCACAACCTTGAGTCCAAAATAACTCATTATCTGTAGTTTAGCCTTATTAGGACATTGATCAAGCTATTTTTGCTTATTTATTTCATAGTTAAAACATTTATATTATATATGTGTGTGTGTATATGTATTTTTACATATGCAAAATTACAATATTTTTGTTTTGCATGGTCTTATCTAAATCTGAACACTCTGTTTTTCCTTGTTCTTGTAACATATGTTATAATAATACTGAACTTCTCAGTTCTTTAGGTTAAATTAGTAGTTTAACTAAAAAGAAATTAACTTTTCATTTAACTCTTACAATTTCAGTAGCTTCAATTATTTTTTTGGAGCTTGCTATTTTTCTTATTTAATGAGGAAGAATTGTTTTTCAACCTGGTAATCTGTGTGGGAGACCCAAATAAAAGTCTAGTTGGAGACTAAAAAGTATTTCATATTATTACAAACATATGATGTACATTTCTAAGGAAAAAGTGGATGTTATCATTGAACTTGAGGCACACACATTTAACATGAACCTTTTTGTCCTACCTTGATGAAAGTACTTTGAAAGCCTTATACTGCATAAAACTCAAACTGGCATATCTCCCCTATGATTAAAATTGAGTATGGGGAAAAAAAACAGCCTGATGTTTGTTAGGAGTTTTAATTTGGTGACGTAGGTGTGGTTTGCTTCTGTTTTTTTTCCAGGGGGATGTTCCTGGATACCATTCTCCCCAACCGTGATGATAATGGCATACGTCCGGCAATTGGTCAGCGAACCCGATTAAGCAAAGGAGATATTGCACAGGCAAGAAAGCTGTATAGATGTCCAGGTATTGCACAAAACAAACACAGAGGCATGCCTGGGCTTCACTATGCTCTTCCAGATGCATAAGCCAGAATTTAACTCTTGTCCTTGTCTGTGCTGGCAAAGGGTGTATATAGTTCAAGTGATCCAAAATGAGATAGAACAGAACTCTGGAGTACTCACAGCTATAAATAGAAACAGGTTGCTAGAAATCAAATGGTATATTTTTATTTCTTTTAGCTTTATGAGTAAGAGTCAAATAGAATGATCATCTGATCACTGTTAAGTAGTATCATGATTTTGTAGCTAAGTGCTATTTCTTGCTCACAGAAAAAGATTATCTTTTCAGAATGAGATCCTATAGGATCTTTTCTTGCCAGAAGCATTATTAATGGTATGTAAACTAAAGTTTTATCAGTAGGAATTTATAAGTTTTTTACAAAAAATAATTTCTAAGCATGTTGCTAGTGAATTACTGAGTAAGTGTATAAAATGATGGCTAGAAGTTCATGATTTCAGTATGGGCAATAGCATTATTGTATTGATATTTCTGCTAAAAGGAGTTTCCTCTCCATTAAATCACATTTGCTAAGGAAAATTGTGAGAAACTATTTTTTCCCAATTTTATTTTTATTAGTTTAAAAAATTTAGGTCCATTAAATTTTCAGAGTGAAGTTGAGGTCTTTGAAATTTAAGTGAGTACATAAAAACTTTTGTATCTTAATGATGCAATATTGAAAACTTGAAAATTTTTCTTTTGCACATAAACATTTCTGTACCATATCTACAGACATTTCTACTTAATGTTAATTAGTTAATTTACTTCATGTTATTTAGGTTAAATTCATATTTGAATAATGTCTTTTAAAAATATTTATGTAGATATGTAAAATACACACATCTGTGTGGTGCTGTTTTATTATTTTTTTACTACAGTTTATGATAGGAAAGATAAATTTATAAGACAGTTACTACTTGAAAAAAGGATATGGTGATCCTTTACTAATTTCTAGCAACATTGGACATATGCTTTTGTACTTTTAAAAAGAGAAAGATGATGTGATTAATCATAACTTCATAAATGAATTCCTTGAAAATCTCATTTGGTTGTCTCTTTAAATATGTGTGTGTGTGTGTGTGTATGCATATATATAAAAAGCTCTCTGAGATGCATTTGCACATTGACTTGGAAAGTCAATGAGAATACAAAATTAATTGAACTTATGGCACCATAATTTTTAGCCTATGGATCTTCATATTTCAGTTATTAACAGAACTATCATTATAGTTTTCACTTGAGATTTTAATTGTGTAAAAATGCATCAATGGGTCATAATTAACATATGCACTATTTTGTTTAATACATTATATCCATACTCATAAAAGCACTATGATCTGTGAGAAAGACAATTTGTATTTCTAATGCAGTACACAAAGCTGTATTACAGTTTATGAATTTCACAGAACAAGGGAGAACTAAAAAATAAATGTTACACTGCATGCTCCTTTGGAGTTTGCCTTATTCTTACTCTTCTGTTAGAAATTGCTCATCAGCAGAGTTCATGAAAAATATTTGACTACTTTTCTTGCCAACATTGCTTCTCATCTGGTTATACTCAAAACTCTAGTAGAAGTACATTTTATAGAGCTATTTCTTAGAGTTTAATCTTGAAAGAAACACTGACCTGGTAAAGTATAGAGTAAGATTTGCATGATTGTGGCTTTTAGGGTCTGTGGTGAGTGGTAAGTGATATGACTGCCTGCAAATACTGTTGCTCCTTCTTAAATAATATAGAGAATGGTTAAAAAATTTTTATAAGATAGTGAACAGTGTATATTTTTAATTAAAATAGTAACAGTTACATTTATGGGAACCTATAGGTGACATAAACCTTGAAATCCATTATTATATTTATCTATATATGCTCAAAGTATAAATTAAATGGATGTATGAAACCTTCATTTTATTATCAATATATACTTATCATGAAAAAGCTCAAAATAAGACTAAAACTAGATTTTTAAGGTGATGCTCCAGAGGTAAATTATAATTTAGAATTTTTTTCATTGTGATTTCTTCCTCTTAGTTCTATAGGTAGGCAAGAAAGTCGTCTTATGAATTACTGTGTAAAGAAAAAAGATGATTCCTTACAGCCCTGGTACTGATGTAGGAGACATGCTGGATCACACGGTCCCAGAAGGGTCATGGGAAGGGAAGGTGGAGATGCTCAGCATTGAGAGAGGATAGATTCCTGGATTCTGCTGTCAGACGCTCAATCCTGTGTCCTGATGACTTCCAAGCCTTTCAAGCAGTAAGGCATCTTAAAGGACACCCACCAAAGCTACTTGCCTGCTATCATAGTAATTAGTATCCTGTATACCATTTGGACAAGAAACATCAGTGGGGGTAGAGACTAGGTCATTGTTAAACTCTCCTTTATCCTATCAATTAGCAGTTTGCTTGTGAAGGTGATCCTTTCTAAGATATGTGTTATAGCATATCTGCTTTTGTCAATGATTAATTTGTTCTCTTATTCTCTCTTTTGGGGCCTCTTTCTTATTTTTCCTTGAGATTCTCATTTTCTAGGGGTATTCTCTAATATTTACATTACTTTCTTTTTCATCTTTAAAAAGTTTTACTCTTCTCCTACAATCACTGGTAGAAATCAGCATTTTTTTCTACATTCAGTTTTCTTCTGTAATCCTATAACCTTTTGCTTGTAATTACTTGGTACTTGGACCAACTATAAATGGTAATATTTTCTCCATAGGTAGGTCTTCCATAGCTAAGTCTGTCAAGCATGTTAGCCAGTTTTACATTACTTTAACAAATGCTTGAGGTGATTATTTTATAAAGACTAAAGGTTTACTTTTGGCTGATAGTTTTAGAGGTTCCAGTCTATGATTTATTGGCCCCATAGATTTTGGACTTGTGGTGAGGTAGCACATTATGGCAGGGATGTGTGGTGGAACAAAGCTGCTCACCTCATGACCAGGAAGTGAAAAAGGGAGGAAGAGAGGGCACACCTTCAATGACCTGAAGACCTTCCACTAAGCTCCACCTCTTAAAGGTCTCCCTCTTCTCAAATAGCACCATATTGGGGACCAATCCTTTACCACAAGGGGCCTTTGAAAAACATTTAATATCCAAACTGTAGCATCAAGCAACATAGTAAAATTTAGAAAAAAGATATAAAATAAATTTATATCTAATAATAAGCTTTTAAAAATTAGAATCTCTTATAATATAAACATATATGTATACTCACATTTTTATGCAAATAACCTGTGTCCACAAATTCACTTGTGATATGCAAACAATACATATATAGAATGTATATATGTATAGATGTAAATTTATGTGCAGGCTGAACGGATGAAAGGCCAGTTTCAACATGCATGAGGTTGGTATAGTAGGAACTTTCAAAGTGTTTTAGCACTTTTTTCATTTATTTCTAAAGTTGATATAGATATATTTTTTAGTTACCTAAACTATAGTTATTTCTGTACTGTAATTCTGTGATTCTCCAAGAATGCAGATAGAAAATTCTTCTATAATTGCTTTTAGATGTATGTTTTTTGGCTAAAATATACTGTCAACACTAAAAAAAAAAATTCACTTAGTCATTTTTCTCTATTTATTCGTGATTGTATCTATTTATCTATCTATCAGCAAACCTTCCCTTTTCAGTGGATGGTAGCACAGGACCCCCAGTAGCCCAAGTTAGACAGTGGGATCATCCTCACTCCATTCTTTTGTCTGCCTCTCTTCCCATGCCTACTCAATCTCCACCCTTTTGTTTCCACCCTCTTAGAATCTCAAATTCCTACAGTGAGTATTTTGGGTACCATCCTCTCTTGTTTGAATGCTGGCATGCCTCCTGTTTATCTCTTGCCTTTACTCATCTATCCTTTCAGTTTTCTGGCCATGCTGCTGTCCAAGTGACATTTCAAAATGCAAGTCTTTTCACATGCGTCTTCAGATTAAAGGTTACATTCCTTCTCCAGGCTTCTTTCAACGTTTGTCCCACATCTCTTCCCTCACCCTCATGTCTAGATACTGATTTCCCTAGAACTTAGTTTCTCACCCTACATCCATTAGCCTCCAGTGGAATCTGTTGCTTTAGGTCTCTTCTGTCAGACAGAAGCACTAATAATTGCCACCTGTTGAAATCCTGTTACTTAAAAATGCCCTGGTCTTCCAGGATTCCTGCGGTGGTAAATTCATTATTGGATCCTTGTCTTTGTTACTCTCATGATTGTCAGTGACGTGTCATTTCCCACACTAGACTGAAAGCTTCTCAAGGATCAGAGTTGGGCTTTTCTTCCTGGTATCTGGAATTGGAAAGAAGTTAGGAGCTCAAGAAACTTGAATGAATGAATGAATGAAGCAGCTTTCATATGTGCTGGGAACTGTACTGGATATTATAATGTGGAAGGGAACACAGAATTTATATTCAGATAGCAAGGGAGGGACTTCAGAGGAGGGCAGTAGAGCATGGTGAAGAAGTAAATCTAATCCATAAAGGATGCTAGAGTAGAGTCAGGAGTAATTGATCTGCTGTGTATTGGATGAGAAAGGCTTCCAGGAGCTGATAATTGTGCCCTGGCTTGAAGTGTTTAGGCTTGGCTACACAGTTGCCACAAAATATATTTTAACATTTTTCAACAACTTATCCTACTATAATTTCTCAGATGATTACTTAGGATGTTTTTTTCCATTTCCTTTTATGAAAATCATTTTGAACCAAAATTTTATTTATGATGTTTTAAAAATTTTAAGGAGCCCAGAATTCATGTATGATTTAAAAACATTAGGTACTACTAAATTAATAAGATGTTTTTATTACTTCTTTTAAGCTAGAATTTATCAATTTTTTAGAGACTGGTTATTTCAAATTATTTTGCAGTTGTCTGTTTTCATTATCTTTAGTAAAATACAGAATATGGAAAAGAATATGATTTTAAAATTTGGTATTTGTTGGATGCTATGGACATTTGACAGGAAATATATTTGTAGATGGATGTGCAGTCCTTTGATCATGTTATTAAAAGATGAGAATCTGTAATTATTTATCAATAATGCACAATCTAAATGGTGCTTATACCAAAATTTTCTGTTAGAAGAAGGAAGATATGTATAGGTTATTTAATTGAAATGTAAGGTAAGTCATATGATAGACTTTTATATTTAACTTCCAAATTGTGTTTTAAAGTAATGTTGATTTACAATACTCATCATAATAATTTACCTCTTTATATTTTTGAACGCTTTTATTTTTCCAAATATACTCAGAAATTCTTAGTTGTAGTTTAAAGACAAATTTTTATCATACAGTTCTAGTCTTTCTGCCAGTGGGAGAAGTGCTAAGATGATTTAGGACATAGTAACATTTGACCCCTACAAAACAACCTTACGAAGTCTATGTGAACAAAATAGACACAAGAGAAAACTGGATCTAAGGCTTTTGAACTTTGAGTGTGATGATGTAATTAGGAAGTGACAATGTCAGTACTTACATTGTTTTCTCATCCACAAACCTTGTCGTCAATGTGTAGACTGAGTGATAGAATTAAATGGTGCCAACTATTCTTTGTTAATTTTTAAAATTTCTTGAATAGTAAAGATTTTTTTTTATAACTGAACATAACTCAATTAATGGCTAAAATGTCATGTGTAGTAGGGGATCTTTAACTTGGAACAATCACATTTATTGAGGAATGTTTAGAAACTTTAATAATAGATGTTTGTACTTTTTTTCCTTTTGTACTAGGATTGAATTCAGAGGCATTTAAGGGCTAAGCCACATCCCAGCCTTATTTTGTATTTTATTTAAGAACAGGGTCTCACTGAGTTACTTAGCACCTGGCTTTTGCTGAGGCTGGCTTTGAACTTGTGATTCTCCTGCCTCAGCCTCCTGAGCCTGGCTCTGTACTTCTTGAATTATAAGCAGACACTATGTCATAAACACTTAATTTTTAAATCGTATGTTATATATATATATATATATATTTTAAGACAGTCTTTTTTCATTCAGGACATTACTGTATAAATTTATTAATTAAATGTATGTTTACATATACATATATATTACATATGTGTGTGTGTACATATATATATTATAAACATATATGCATGTGTATACATACACATATATGTACATAAAATTGTTTTAATTTCACTTTAGGAAATACTGTCTAAGCATTCTCTGTGGCTTAAGGGGCTTTAAATGATTACAGAATTTAGTTTTAAACTGCTGAGAACTTTAAGTTTTTTCACTGAAACATTCTACTCACAAATTAAGTGGCACTTGATAGAATCTTAACACATTTTCGTTTTTCCAAAACCTTCTTACATTATGGCAATTGTCAAGTGCCCTAGATGATTCATAGAACAGTGTTAAATTATGTATTTTTGACCTTGAGTATTTTCATTTTGTACTAAAGTTACTTTTATCTGCTTGTTCATCAAAATGAACATTGCATACTGCTTCTTGAAATTTATTTTGTTGTGCAAACATAATATATCTTTTCTGAATATTTATATTGTAACAAACTATTTTTACAGCTCTGTTTTATGTTTTTAGAGTCATTATCTTTTCTTATTTAACACAATATTTCCAGGACCATTTATAATTTATTGAGGATTTGACGAGACAAGAGTTCACCTGCTGGTAGCTCTGACTCTGTAATATGGTAATATCTCAGTTCTGATTGCAGTCTCCTTCAGAAGGAAGGAACTGTTATTTCAGATTGTTGAGTGAAGGTTATAAAGATGACAGGCTGCACCAGAGAGATCATTCTTGAATTAGGGATTCTTGAAACAGCCTAGGTCACCTGCTTTATACCATGTCTCACAAAAGCACTTGCAAAACCCACAATAAAATGGTGCAGATCACCAACTTTGCCAAATACAGGTCTTGATTATGTGTAGCTGATCAGTTTTTATTTTCAATGACTGATAATTAGTTTCAAGTAACAAGACGAGCTCAGTAGGAGAAAATATAAATTGTTTTTATAGCAATTTTCTACTTATGATCACAGAAAGACAAAGTAAAATGTTTAGATATTTTGGAAAATTTGAATTTTCCATGATAGTTTTTTTTTTATTGGTTGTTCACAACATTACAAAGCTCTTGACATATCATACTTCGAACAATAGTTTCAAGTGAGTTCCATGATAGTTTTAATCTTTTATTTTGGAACATTGTACTTGACATTTTGATATCACCTTTACTGAAGATTTATTAGTTATCATTTACAATGTTTTCAATCTTGAATGGTATTTACTGTTAACCTCAATTCACTAGAATATATTAATAGACTGTTCCGTGTGGTCTCAGAGCAGCATCAACTTGGTATCTACTGGCCTCATCCTGAATATGGGTGTCTTTTAAGTTGGCTACTGGCTTCTTGAGAAAGAATGAGAAAATGTCCTATGAGGGAGAACTTTATAAATGTCAGTTATTTATTTCATAATCCTATTTTATAGTTAACTCTAGTGATGAGATTAAGTATACCAAAATTCTGGTAAAAGAAATTTTAAAATAAAAATACATGGTCTTATCTAAGACATTGTTAGGGATATCTACGTTATTCATAAAAATTAAAGAATAATCTTATGTCTTCTTTCTTTTCAGCATGTGGAGAAACTCTCCAAGAATCCAATGGCAACCTTTCCTCTCCAGGATTTCCAAATGGCTACCCTTCTTACACACACTGCATCTGGAGAGTTTCTGTGACCCCAGGGGAAAAGGTAGTTCTATTTAGTCTCATATACTGAAAAGGTTCATCATTTTCAAATATAATTTGCTTTATCTTTTGTTCTTCTTTCATTCAAGTATTCAGAGAAATAATAATGGATATTGCTCAAATTCTGGGAATTTTTGAAAGATATAATTTAAAAATTTGTAAATGCTATAAAAGGGTTGATATAATAAAATTGTATTCTCAGACATGAAATTAATTTCAAAGCAGCATTAGAAAGATAACTATGAAAATATGAAGAAATAAAAACCTAAATGTTCAATTAAGGCAATTATAATAAAACTTAGAAACTCTTTTCAACTATTATAAAAAAACAACAACACTGAATACCAAACCTGTAACATGCAACTAAAGCAGTACTTTGAAGAAAATTCATAGGCTTAGATTTTTACATTAGAAAAGGATAAGACCCAAAATAAATGAGCAAGGTATCTACATAAAAGGACTAGAAGAAAGAGCAGTAAAATGAAAGGAAAGCTACTAAGGAGGGAAATAATAAAAGATAAACTAATGTTATGAAAATAAAGTGGTAGAAAATATGAACAAAGTTGCTAGTTTGAATTGATTTTGAAAACGGAAATAAATGGCAAGAGATCAAGAAGAATTACAGAAAGCACAATTATTTAATATTTTGAGAGATTATTGTACAATAGATGCTTTAGACACCAAAATGAAAATAAAAATATTTTGAACATTATGCCAATAATTTAAAAGTTGTCAGATGTGGGCAAATTCCTACAAAATTTTACCATGTTTTTACTCAAAAGAACTAAGAGCAACAAATAATTCTGTAACCATTAAAGAAATTGAATTACTAGTTATCTTAATTATTAGAGTTTTTCTTTCAGCAATGAAAAGTCATGTTCAAAGTGCTTCATTAGTAAGATAAACCCAACATTGAAGGAAGAAATAAGCATAATCATATATATATATAAACTCTTCCAGGAGATAAAGATGTACTCTTTTTTAAATTTTAAAAATTCTATTTATTCTAATTTGTTATATATGACAGCAGAATGTGATTCAATTCATATTACACAACTAGAGCACAATTTTTTATGTCTTTGGTTGAACACAAAGTAGAGTCACACCATTAGTGTTTTCAAACTTGTACTTAGGGCAATAATGTCTGTCTCATTCCACTGTCTTTCCTACCCCTTATTTCCTCTCTTCTCCTCCCACCCCTTTGCCCTATCTAAGTTAGTCTATTCCCCCCATGCCCACCCCTCATCCTCATTATGAATCAGCACCCTTATATCAGAGAAGACTTTCGGCATTTGGTCTTTTGGGATTGGTTTACTTCACTTAGCATGTTATTCTCCAACTCCATCCATTTACCTACGAAATGCCATGATTTTATTCTCTCTCATTGCTGAGTAATATTCCATTGTGTATAAATGCCACATTTTTTTAAAAATCCATTCATCCATTGAAGGGCATCTAGGTTGGCTCCACAGTTTAGCTATTGTGAATTGTGCTGCTATAAACATTGATGTGGCTGTGTCCCTGTAGTATGCTGTTTTTAAATCCTTTGAGTATTGACCGAGGAGAGGGATAGCTGGGTCAAATGTTGGTTCCATTCCAAGTTTTCCAAGGAATCTCCATACTGCTTTCCATATTGGTTACACCAATTTGCAATCCCACCAGCAATGTATGAGTGTGCCTTTCCCCCCACATCCTCACCAACACTTATTGTTATTTTTAGTCCTAATATCTGCCATTCTGATGGGAGTGAGATGAAATCTTAGAGTAGTTTTGATTTGCATTTCTCTAATTGCTAGAGACTGGAAATCCATATGAAACAGAAGGGAATCAAACCCCTATTTATCTCTCACCATGCACAAAACTCAACTCAAAATGGATCAAGGACCCAGGAATTAAACCAGAGACCCTTCACCTAGTAAAAGAAAAAGTAGGCCCTAATCTCTATCATGTTGGATTAGGCCCCAACTTCCTTAATAAGACTCCTATAGCACAAGAATTAAAATCAAGAATCAGCAAGTGGGATAGATTCAAACTAAAAAGCTGCTTCTCAGCAAAAGAAACAGTCAGTGAGGTGAATAGAGAGCCTACAGAATGGGAGCAAATTTTTACTACACACACATCTGATAGAGCACTAATCTCTAGGATACATAAAGAACTCAAAAATCTCAAGCACACAAACAAACAAATAATCCAATCAATAAATGGAACAGACACTTCTCATAAGATGATATACAATCAATTAACAAATAAATGAAAAAATGTTCAACATCTCTAGCAAGGTGTACTCTTATTATTTATGTTATAAAACCTTAATACCAATCCTGATGAGGACAGCATAAGCAAGGAAATTTGTATCCCAGATTCACATGTGAATATGGATATAATTCCATCAAAACTACCAAATCAAGTGTTGATATATATGCTTGTATGCATATGTGTTCATGCATCCATAATGTATCAGTAAAATATATGTGTGTACAAACATTAGATGAGTATCTAAAACCAAGAGAAAAATTCTAATGATTTAATAACAACAGTAGCATACCCCAAGCAAACTAAAAGAGTAGGATACTTTCTTAATTTTATAGAATCAACAAAAATTATCACAAAAATCATTTTTATTAGGGAAACTGTTTCCTTTGAGGTAGGCTAAAAAACAAGAATATCTACTACCACCATTTCCTTTTCAATATTTTGTTGGAAGTAACAGATCATGAAGAAAAGAAAGTGGAGTTAAACACACAAGAATTGCAAAGGAAGGCAAAATTTTCTTTATCATATTTAGTTTGTTGGGTATAAAATTTGAAATTGCTAGAAATTTGAAAATTGCCAACCAGAAGTAGCATTGTGCTTATATGTACCTTAATTTAAAAAATTAATCCATTAATTTCTGAATTCTATTTTGAAAGCTCACCTCTGGTTTATATTGATACTCATATTTATTTAATATTAACAAATGTGTATTGAGATTAATCTTTATTTTCTACTAGTTATTACATGACTTTGATCCTTTAATTAATCTGGAAAGTCTTAAATATATTCATTAGTTTCAGTGAAATGAAACTACAGTTTCATTACAGTTAAAAATATTCAATATTCCTGTGATAATTGAATATAGTTGAAGAATATCATGTCTCCAGGGTTTTGTGTTATTCACAGTATAAGTTCTTTGAATAAAATACCTCAAAAACATAAGTTTTATGCACAAAACATTAGATATAACTTGAAATCCATGAGTACAAGCATAGATCTTTATTTAGCTGTTTTTAATTTAAGAATTGTAATTCTGTCTCTGTTTTAATGTACTTATAAGTGTGGACCAGTTGCTATTTATGTTCCTTCAATAATTTCTTGAAAATATATTATGAAAATTATTTTTAAAAAGGAACTAAAGAGCAAATTTTAAATGATGGTAAATTTTGAGAGGAAGTTTAAAACTAATTTTTTTAAAAGAAAAACCTGTAGAATCTGAAAAATTTGGGATCAAGATTTATCAAATTAAATCAGTTCACAACAACAAATTAATATTTGGGAATTAGTGTTTCTCTTAGGCAATTGGAAATACTCATACCGTTAGCATTCAAGAGTAATTTATTTTTTTCTTGTTTGTATGATTACCAGGAAAATTATATTTTCCATAATGTTGTAAATAGGAATAAAAACAACAAATCTGTTATTCTTTCTCTTATTTTTCTTGATATTATTTATGCCAATTACTGAATAAACTGGTTGTTAAAAGTGATCAATGAACAATAGTAATTCATATTTATATGTTGTATTTTTGTTTTATTTTTCCAACATTTGAATTTATTCTTTTTAAAATAATTTTTAGTTGTCAATAGGCCTTTATTTATTTTTTTATTTATATGCAGTGCTGAGAATTGAACCCAGTGCCTCACACATATGAGACAAGCACTCTGCCATTGAGCCACAATCCCAGCCCAAGTTTATTCTTTTTTTAACTTAAATTGGAAGTCTAAATTATTAATTTCAAGTATCTTTTCTTTTCCAGCATAAATAGTATAGGAGTGATAATTTACCTCTAAGTACTACTTAATTGGAATTCCACCAGTTTGACCTATAGTATTTTTGTTATTTTAAAATTCTAGATATTTTATGTGTTCTATTATTTTTTCTTCAACACACATATTTTTAGTAACATTTTAAAAAAATTTCTAATATGTTTTTTCCAGTTTGCTGATTAATAATTTCTCTTTTAGTCATCTTTGGATGAGGGACTACAGTCAATATGCTTCAGTCATTGAAATAGCTTCAGGCTGGTATGACCTTGGAAGTGACCAATATCCATGAAATAATCTGTGCTTTAAGAATATATTTTGTGCAATGGTTGGGTTTTTCTAATTGTATAGTTGAAATAGTCTCAATATTATTGTTTTTGTCTGCTTGATCTATCAAATAATTATAAAGGTGTGGCAACATTTTTCACTACTTGGTAGATTTCTTAATTGCTGTTTACAGTTTTTCACATCTGTTTTATACATTTTATTTTATATCTATCTATATACATATATATAAATTTAGAGTATTACTTTAGAATATTATATCTTCCTCTTAGATTTTTTTTTATTACAGGGTGAATGTCTTTTTCTCTAGTCATGGCTTAGTTTAACTCTTTTTTTCTGATATCAATAAAGCTATACTTTATTTTGATTAATATGTTTGCCTGGTGAATCTCTGTCCTGCTTCAAAGATTTTTTTCACTTTTTCACCCTTTGTTTCAGGGGTGTCTCTTTTAGACAGCAAACAGTCTGGTCTTATTTTTTATTTCATGCATGATGACAAGTTGTGTCCTTAACTCCAGGGATAATTCACAGTTACCTTTAAGTGATTAATAATGTATTATCATTTCTTATTTGCACATTATATGTCCTTCCCTTTTGTTCGTTCTTTCTTTTATGCTTTCTTATGTATTGAATTATATTTTTATCTGGTTAAATTTTTCTTTCTATCGTTTTGAAACTTTTAAATATATATTTTATTATA